CAAAAAAAAAATTAGAAACATAATATAAATGGGTTGAATGTACAAAAAAAAAAAAAATCAATATCATATAGATAACAAAATTTGAAGCGTATAGGTAAAATAGACAGAATGAAAATGAGCTTACCGAATTACGCCTCAGAAATAATCTAATCAGGTGTAAGATTTCTGAAAACAATCGGATGAAAGCAAAAAAAAGATGATCCAAAAATAGATAAGAGGTTGAAGAGTATCATAAAGTCCACCAGGCGACTACAAGTTTTACGGGTCATGCGATGATCATATTTCTTAAAATTCGTTAAAGTTAGGGTTAGTGTTATAGTTGGCGTTTGGTAATAAATAATATATTAAAAGTAGTCAATGAAAAATTTTGATTGGAGCGTAAATTGTGGCTTCTTATGTGAAATTTTGTGAAAAGGAAAGCTTTTGTCAGAACAAACGTTAATTTTGAATTTTCCCGATCGCGTTACGTTACATTTAATTGCAATTTCCCATTGTACCGACCATCACCTGGCCCGTAAAACTCGTGGTCGTCCTGGTGGATTCTATAAAAAATGGCAAATTTAATAGTAGAAATTGTAGAAGTTAATATAATTTTTTCTATAGGGTTGAAATTTCTAACAAAAAAAATCGTAAGTTATTCCGGTTCGTGTACAATTATTAAAATTGGGTTAATAGCTCATGAGCTATTGGCATTTTTTCTTCATACCTATATTTTTATATATTCTAACGACTTTCGGCATTTCAGCATTATATCAAAGTAACAGTAATTTACCACCGTTTTTTACTTTGAAATTCATACACTTCAACCGTGATCTACAACTTAATTAAGTTCATGTATATAGCATGGCTCGTCTTCCGCAATTTCGAAAAACATTAGGATCAAATTTGAAAAAACAAACGTTAGTAAATAAGATTATAAAACCAAAAACAACACAAAAAAAAATAAACAAAAGTAAAAAAAAAAAAAAAAAAAAATACTCGCCCAAATCCTTTGTCATACTGCTTGAACACCTTATCTTTCGCAATCCCCTTTTAAGTTATAAAATAACAAATGGTAGTAAATAGTAATATAAAAACCAAATAAAGTACAAAAAAAAAATTTTTTAAATTTAAAAAAATAAAAAAAAAAAACGAAAGAATTGCTTGCTCAAATCTTTCATCGCCATTCTAATTTCACTTTACCAGCATCTTGAATGACGGCAAACAGAGATGCCCACTTTCGTTACTTCCATCGTTTTAACTTCTCAATTCTGTAAATAATAATGGCCAATTTGATACATTCTGCTGGAATTTCACATCAGCAAACGGTCGATAATGAACAAATTGCCTGATTTTCATTACTTCCATCTTTTTAAAACCTCAATCCTTAAATAATAACAATGGCCAACTTAATATATTTTATTGGAATTATTCATATCAGTAAACGTTCGATAATGCACAAGCGCCTTACGTCTTTTAACTCCTCAAGTCCCTAAATAATAAAAATAACCAACTTGATACAGTTTATTGGAATTATTTATCAGCAAACGTTCGATAATGTACAAGTGCCTTACTTTTGTTATTTCCGCTTTTTTTAATTCCTAAATAATAAAAATAACCAACTTGGTAAGCTTATTGGAATTATTCATATCAGCAAATTTTCAATAATGTATAAGTGTCTTACTTTTGTTATTTCCGTCTTTTTAACTCCTTAAATCCCTAATAACGATGATCAACTTGATATATTCCATAACAGCAAACGTTTTAAGTGCCTTCCTTTCGTCTTCCTAACTCAATTTCATATTTACTTGCCGTTGTATATTCACATATCCTAAAAAAAAAAAAAAAAAAAAAATCAATACATGCGTACGTACGTACATTGCAGAAAGAAATACTATCAATATTGATCTGGTTCAGCAGGTAAAGTCGTTACATAGAGATTTAAAAGCGGAAGGTGCCACATGATCGTCGCCAGTGATGTAACTTACTTCAACGTCCACTTTAGATATTTGTCAAACATCGCGAAATAAAGATAACTGTAAATACATTATATTTTTATTTTTCGTTTGCTCATTTAAAAATCGGTATTATGAATAATTTAAACTTACCTTTTTCTTCATATCAACTTAGTCTATCAAATGGAATTGGAATTATACTTTGCGTTTTTCATTTTTATTTCATTTTTATTTTTTATTTTCTTAAGTTTTTTATTTTTTATTTATTTTTTGTTTATTGTAAATAATTTTTATGCTCACCGTAATTAAATCATGAACTTGGATAGTTAATATTCATTACTTGCGCTGAAATGCAATGATCTAAATTAATCGACGTTCCTTATTCTCAGGACAATACTAGGGCGACCCCACAAAGTTCGGGTGCACTACTGGAGCGGTATCTAACATTTGTAATGCTCACTAACCAAATGATTTTTTGGACTATATATATTATAATCCAGAAGTGTTGTTTTGTTAGCAATATCTCATTTATCACGTTTCGACTTTTCGCTTCAACTTGAAGTAAAGGCTCGGTTACTAAATGCTGCGGAAATAGCATACCCGACCTTCAGAGAAATGAAATTAAATAGTAAATATGAATTGCTTCCTTTAAACACTTAAACGATGTTTTTATACTTACATTGAAATGAAGTTAAATAGTAAATATTATATTCATGAGCTTGAATAACCTATTTTAAAAAGCTTAGATTACTTATTTCTCATTAATTAACGCGAATAAAGTTAATTAGTAAATATTAATAAACTTAGTAATTATTTCAAATATATACTTAATAAGCTCTTTATACTCACATTTTAAATTACTGCGAACAATTAAATAGTAAATATTCATTGAGCGATCAATTTTATTATAAGAAAGTAAATTAATTGATGGAAATTAAACACATGAAATTATACAAAGGTCGAATGTGAGAAGCTGGTCTGGATTCTAATATGTAATTGTGAAAAATCACGATGATAAAATAGAGATAAGGAATAACAAATTAACGATACAGATTGAGAGCAATTATCTACGTACAATAAAATAAATGAATCTCGAGAGCAATTACGAATTGAACGAAACCAGAGTTCTATACAACGCTAAATTGATGATCAAGGAAACCCGATTGCTACAAACAAAACTAAGGATAATTTTGAAATAAGTGATATCAATTGAAAAGTAATGTAGATACTAAAGTTATTGCCTAGATGCTGAAATCGTTAGAAGCTGCAATCAATAATTGTTATGCACTGCAAATAACAGTTTAGAAATTTTAAAACTTTACCCACCAAGTGGTAATGCGATATAAAAAGATTTTGCTTAATTAGTGGCATATTTGACTAAGAATTAAATTGTACTAAAATTAATAAATAAAATTAATAAAAACATTTTAAAAAAAATATAATATCAATTTTTTTTCTTAGCACAACTTGCATTATTTAAATTGCTGTATAATAAAATTCATTCCTAACATATTGGTTATTTGAAACATCATGTGAAGTTGAAGTACATGTAGAATGACAACGGTGTACGAAATGGACCTTCGATAAATTGTCTATAAGACTTATTGGGTAGACTCTGTGCCACCGTGTGTTTTCAGCCGTTTGTATTTTATAAACTGGACATTGAAGAATTGGATCAAGTATTGAGCACTCCCGCAGCCAATCAACCCAAATAAATGAATATACTAAACTGTCGTTATATTTATGTGTAAATATCCCCTTTAGTATAGCGTATGATAGACCGGTTTCTTCCTGAATTTGCACTATATCACCAGAATGCAACTTTATATGCGCATCAAAATTGTCATCATCATTTAATAAAGTGTAACTTATTTGTTTGTAAAACTCTACTCGCCTATATATCAAAGCTGCCCTTTTTTCCATATAAATATCATATGCGCTTATGATGTCATAGACAAATTGAGGATTGTCATCAAAATTTACAGGTAACGAAAGTTGTTGGATTTCGCTTTTTGATAGACGTTTTCGAGGTTTGATATTTCTTATTTTATCATCAAGCGATGTGATATTTAAACCTATTGAAATAGTGTTGAAATTATTATATTGGATAATAGCAAGATTACTAAATCCGATAGCCACTGAAACTCCAAGACCGTAGTTTATACTCGAAAAAAACATCGAATATTTTTCACATGTGTCCCAAGTTGAAACCATTGTTAGATAATTTTTATAAATTGATGACTAATTATACACATTAATAAAATATAATATATTATCTTAAGTTTAAATTAAATCGAAAATAAATATACTTACTAATATCAGCAGTATCTTCTTGAATATTCTGTGCCATATACCAATCAGATAATATGGGTTGAAGCAACGGGTCCATTGTAAAATTTCGAAAACCTTGCCCAATATGTTGAAAGCGTCTATCTTTGCCTCCGTCGAGAAGATAACGAAGCGTTTGGAGTGTATTATGCCGTCGAATAAAATCAATTCTATATTCTTGCAGTTCATTTTTGAAACAAAACCTTTGAAAATTTTATGTACTGCTTCCTTTACTCCAACAGAGATATTTACGAGAGTTCCAAAGTTGCGAGCATTCTGAACATGATGCCGGTTTATATGTAAATTTGGCAAATTATTGAAATTGTCTGGAAAAAGCTAAAATACACAATGTAAATAATGTTAATTATGAGATTATGTTAATTATATTGCATCAATGATTTATAAGAATTTGCTATCTTAAAATAAACTCCTGATTTTTTTAAAGATTTAAAATAATTAATCGTCTTTGTTATCGATCGTTATACGTAGCAGCAAGTAAATTTTTAATTTAGAATGGCTAAATATTATCGTTATCATATGCTAATCTTTAATAAAAAAAAATTAAAACGTACGTACATGCATACAAAAATGGAAATCTTAACAATGAAATTGATTAGTAATCATTTTTAGAATTTCCATTTTTGAATTCTACATCTACGTTACATATGTATTACAAGATATATAGTACGTACTCACCTTTAGCAGGAGAATATGCTCAATTTTCAAGGCTTCATCTAGTTCTTTGTATGATTGTTCAGTGAAAGCAAAACTGAAACTTAAACGAGCCGCTTTCGCGACGGCTACCCAACATGAAATGATCTCATTCCCAATTTGTGTAGATGATGGAGCCCTTAGTCGTGAGTTGGTTGATGATGTAAGTTGTCTTCGTAGCAAAGCAAGCTCAGTATCCTTGATATGCGATGATGTTAAAAACCTCCGCAATAAAAATGGCATTATCATTGCTAATCGCAAACAGTCAGAAAACATGAAACTGTTAAGATGTTTGATTGGGTTAGGGAGACGGGACCAGCCAGGGGGTATTTCAAAGTTTTTCCAGTGGTTTAAAAAAGCGGATTTTCCTTTTTGATTTAATAGTGAAAAGGTACAATCCATTAGCCTTTGTGTTTTTCCAGCTACAGCATGGTACGCATCCTGAGGCGTTTGTAAATGTCGATTTCGTATTAGATGATTCAAGATGCTGGGACATTCATTTAGACCATATTCCGTACAGTAGTCATTGACTAGTTTTTGTGAAGCCCTTCCTTGTATGAATTCTTTTAATTTATTGATTCTTTT